AAAATTGCATCCACTTTTCTTTTGTTCCGCTGACAAGCTCATGCAATGTGTTGGAAGGCTGAAAAGTGGATACTTCTATAAAAATCATGTGACAATCGCTTTGTGTCCTATGTCTATTATCATTAAGCTCATCTAATTTTCTGTATTTTTTTCCTTGGAGAGTCTAAATGGAAGTAAAAGTCTCAATAAAATGTACCTCACGTATCCAAAGTAAGATAATAAAAAATTCAAGACTCAGATCCTTGAACAATATCAGTCCAAAACAAAAGCATCCATGAACAATATCAGTCTCCAAACAAAAGGATCCTTGAACAATAAACCCCCTCTCTATTTCTGTGAGTGTGTCTATGACTGTTTCTGGTTGTGAAGAATGAGAAAAGGTAAAGGAAGTTTTCAGTATTTGGATCTCAAAACTCATGGTGAGGAGTTTTTGGTAGCCACTAGTCACTAGATATCAACTTTTACTTCTCTGCCTCTCTTTCTTACGATCAAAGGACATGATTAACAGTTAAACACCCAACTGGCAGAAAATGTGACAATAAAAGGTAAGAAAACAGCACAAAAATAAAAATCCAAAAGCAGTGGAAACAGTAGAAATAGGTTCTCACCTTGCAGCAAAGTAAATCAGGGTCTAAACTAACACTCTGTTTTGTAATCTGAGTGGCATCGGAACTGGAAGAACTCCATGAAAGACCTCTCCTTGTGACTATGTAATATGCAATGGGGATTAAAGAAAGGGGTAAAAGATGGTTTTTTGAGCTACACAGGTTGGGTTGGTGTTAAAAGCTGGCAGCTTTTTTTTGAAACATTCTGACTAGGCGGTAAAAACACTGCCCAGAAGAGCTATCTACCTAGAAAGAGAGTGTCTTATAATGAAGACAGCCTAGATAGAGAAACAAGTTTGAATTAAAGGAAGTGAGAGACAGAGATAGTGGATTTCAGCTTTTCAAGAAGGTGCAAGAAGAAGAGGACAAAAGAGTAATTTTAAAGAAAGGACTAATAATTCAATATAAGGATCTTGGGAAAATCCAACCTGTATAAATCTTACTATCGTAAACTCTTGTCTTTTTGTCTCTCTTCGAAGTTCAAACCTTTTTAAAACTCTCTCAACTTTTTCCTTTTTCCTTTTGTTTCTTTAATGGCACTGCGCGCATTTTGACCATATAAATATGCGCATTTTGACAATGCGTGCATGTATCGAAGGAAAAGGCTGTTTAGGGGCAGTGCATGCAAATAAATAGACATCTTGGAATCACCTCCTTTGTCCTTTTTTATTCCAAGTTTTGTAAACCAAACTTTAAGAATGACCTCAAAAAAACTTTATACAAGCGTATTGAAGGGAAGGAAAATCCTTCGCTTCCTCGGGTACTTGAATAAACGCTTTTAATCACTTCAATTATAAAACTCTTACGAACTTTCAACTCGACACAATATAGCTTAGCTTTTATTCAATGCAGTTTAATTACCAAAACCCTTCTTTTATTTTTCTTTCTTTTGATAATCTTAACAGCACATGGGTGTATAGTATTATTATTGTTAAGCTATCACTGTAATTGACCCCACTTGATCTCCAAGATATAATCATGGTGTTTAACAAAAGGATATAATCATGGTAATATGATTTAGTGGTTGATTGATACTAATGAACTTTTTGTTCACTATTTGCAATAATGCAATGGGGTCACATTATTATTGCTCCAATGTGAACACGTCGAACCAACCCCTCTCAAAGCCTGAATGTTGCCTATATTTCATTTGTTGGGAGTTTAATGTGCCATGTGAGCAAAAGCACTTTATATGGAAGCACTTGCTTCTCTCTGAGGTAATAATCTATACAGTATATAAAATTTGGTACTATTTCACAAGAATCAAAATCTGCTGGTTTGAACTTAGCTTCTACGCCAGAGCCTCCCATAGGCTTTCCAAGGACTCTAAAGTCTAAACTAAACCAGTCTTAAAATTCATGCATAGCAGAGTCTCAATCAAGTTTTTTAATTAAAGACACGCTTGAAGTTGAAGATGACATCTCTAAACCATGGTCCATATATAAGAAAATAAAGAGGTGGTAGCTCTTAGCCACTCATAAGTGATGAGTAAAACTCAAGACCTATTAACATATATACAAACAATATTGAGAGAGGTGAATCAAATACAGGATTTAGGGTAGAACGGAACTACGAAAGGGCTCGCTCGCGGGTTCAAATGTTTTGGTTACCAGTGATGAAGCCATTGTCTGGTCTGAAATCAAATTTGGCTTAATTCCAAATGAATAGAAATACCCAAGAGTACTGGTCCCTTTTGTCTGTCTATAGGAGCATCTGTGCAAAATAATGTAGCTAAACAGTGAGGAAATAGGTCGCCATGTGGTCCTCACTCAAATTGCAAGCTAGAAAAACAAAGCTTGTCCTTGTGGGCAATCAAAGAAAAGGAGTAGCTGAGTTTTGTTATGTTCATAGCAAAGAGATGGACAAAATGCATGTGAAACTTAAATGTTTATGATATCTCCACCTACTATGAGGCCCAATCTCATAAATCCAGCACCACCCCCACATTATTAGATTTTGGGGCCAAGCAAACCCCCCATTTTTGAATTGCTTTGCTGATGACGGCACCCACCACCGCTACAAGAATCAAATTCTGTAAGGATGTCTTTTGCAATCATCAACGACCCACTGAACAAACATTATTTGAATTTTGAACCCAAATTGATGTAAGGCAAGGTGGATCATCAAGTGATAAGTTTACATTACTTCAGCTTCCTTCTTAACCATGGAGTAATCTTCCAATACTACATTTAAAAATTCTTTTTAATCTCTACGCGTAGGTTTCGAATACCTCTATACACAAGGTTATAACAGTTCATGGGTGGAACTTGCCTCCCTTGCCCCTACAAAATCGACTTGTAAAGAAAGGGTACTGTCTCAAGATATGTTATTTTTCCAATGTCACATGGTAAAGATGGTGAATTGTTTAGATCAAATTGACATGGGAAATATATGTTATACAACCTGCACTTCACCTTCACAGGTCAGGGAAAAAGTACAAATAAAATAACCAGGCTCCGAATCAAATTCTTTATACAATTCTCATTTCATGTTTCTTCAACTGTATTTTCAGGCATGCTCTTCTCCGATCTATGGGGAGTAACCAGCAGACAACTCCATTTCACTGTTGATATTGTAACAATGAGGCATACATTTTCTTAGAAGTAAAAGGAAAACGAAATCAATCCTTGGGACTCGCTAATCAAGTTGACCATATACAGGAGTGGAAGGGTGGAAATCAGTAGGAAATAGCAAAACCAGTAGCCTTTCATTTCATTAGAATAATAATCTGTTTTTCCTTTCACATCTATAATAGAGACAGAGATGGAGTGAAAGAGTGAGGGAGAATCATCACTACCTTGGCCTTTCTACTAGTCACTTGCATTCTTTCTTTCTTCATCTTTTTTTTTTTTCCGGGTGCAGTTGCCGTGCTTGAAGGCTCAGCTAGCGAACTGCCAAGGCCACACGCCATATCTGTTTCAGGATTAACTATCACTAGTACTATGACTTAAACTACTGCCACGGAACTCCAGGTCCACTGGCCACAGCTCTAGCCTCAGCCAGAGAAACAGCCATGGCCAGCATCATCTGCTCCTCAAAACTCTCGGGAACAATAGGGTCTGGGACATTTTGAAGATCGCCCTCAATCTCATTTCCTGTTGGTGGCGCAGATGTACTGCCGGCATCTTCTGTTGTGTCAGAGCTTGCATAACTCGTCCGTGTGTCGGCGTTCCATTCTCTGTCATCCTGCGTCAAAGGCATCCCATGATTGATAGACATTTCAGAAGAGCTCACTGCAGCTGAATAATTTTCTGATTCCCTGTCCACCCTGTTGTAAAACCTGCTAGTGCCTGGAACCATACTGAACCCTGGCACATTACCACCAGGATTAGTAGATGATTCTCCACTCGTTTGCTGTCGTTCTGCAAGGGCAGCTATTGCACAAGCAAGACCCCCGGATGGTGATGATGAACCGGAAACTGAAACCATAGCTGGTGAGACATAGCTTTGTCTTGTGACAAATTGTTCAGATGGAGTAACATCCCCATAAGATGGAGACTTGTGTCTCCCATTCTCCTGAAAATATAATTTTTTTGCAATTCAGAAAAGTTGAAGACTTCACATCATATCTTCCAACAGAAAACTAGATAGAAATACAGATTCACTTCAATAATAACCTGAATAGGAAAGCAGTAGACATAATCATATAACTTCCACAAATTGGAAATGTGTGTATGGGCGTGCAGTCCTGATGGGGAAGGAGAGATTTTGTGCATAGCAGCAAATATATCAACCAAAACAAAATAAAAACACAAAACTCATAGCAATAGAAAATTAGTAAAAGACAACAATGTATAATGGAGCTCCAAATCACCATTTCACAACACAAGAAGGATAACACTGTAGAACCTTGCTTTGAAGCACATCTTCCTACATCTACGCCAATGCTGGTCATCAAGACTATACAGGAAATACTTTGAATTGTTCTATCACTTTGAGAGATATCTTATAACAAATAATGTACATTATCTAACAAATTTCTGCTATAATACTCCACCTAAGAACTATTAGTATTTATCCCTGTTCTTACTCTCTGATGGACTGCTATTGGATCAAATAATGACAAAGAAAAGAATGTCCAATGGATTGAATAAGACATCGTGAAGAGAAAGGATGGTGTTTCCCAAAAATTAGAATGTCATTAGATTCATGCAACAAGAGAAACGTTTAGCTTGCTTCATAAGATAGAGATCTGCATTGCAGAAAAATTGTTTGAAGCATTAACACAGATTCTGAAATATCAGAAGTGAAGTCCAAATGACAAGTCCCCACAATCATGCCAGCACCATTTTATCAAACGAAAACAAGTGCTCAAGCTAAATGGCTCAATTATTGTAGTTCAGTATGACACCTGTAGAAATATGGCTTAGGATAATAGGAAAGACGAGACAAAAGCTACGAGTAACATTGAATATGATCAGACACATAAGAAAGGACTTGTGTGGCCACTGAGTTATAAAATATTAGTTAACATATAACTAAAACCGGACCTAGTCATGAGAATTTAATAGAATATAATTTTCCAATTACTGATTCTATGAATGTTGTTTACTAATGAGTTTGGAGCTGGCATCCAAGTCAAAGAAGACAAGAAGCTGTAAGGAGGGCAGTACATAGAATAACATCATTACCTTCCCCCTCTGACAAAAGGCATCAAATCTCAAAAGTTGACTTTGTCAGAGATGACCAATTAGTAAACCAACTACCGTGATTCATAGTGCACCAGCGGTTAAAAGTACCACTAATTTCTTTTGTGATTCACTAAGAACACAATGCAAAGGGAAAATTTTAGCAACTAATAAATTTATAGAAAAAACCAAAAACAACTAGTAAGCAATCAACTAACTTCAGTAACAGGAAACTTTGTTTAATGTTTACAATGAAAAAAGAGAGAATTCAAATTGCTCACAACTGCTCATCTAAACTCAAGATACAACTAGGATAATTAAATCTAAAGCTTAGATGTTGCGTTATCTGCATAAAGAGATATTCTACTCAAATCGTTTGATAGAGGGAGCTTTCACTCAAATGGTTTGATATAGGGAGCTTTCACTCAAATAGTTTAAATATCTTTCATATAATGATGTCAAAAGTACAAGTTCCAATGCTCACTATTGCAAATTGAGCGCTTCAGCCTCAAGATCATACAGTTCACAACTCTCTGTGGCACATAAATCACCTGCACATCCTCGCTTTCATTTCAATGTTGGGTGCCAATCAAATCAATCATTACTTACTAGGAGCCAATTAAGAGTACTCAGTAAAAATATGACCTTGAAAGAAACACTTCAACAACCACATACTAGAGTTCAATGTAAAAACTAAGA